TTTTAGAATTAAGTATTTAGCCTTGACATCTGTTACTAATATATTCCTGTATATGTTAGGGTCTTTTAATTCCTCACAATGCTATGAGGATAATTAGGTCAAGGGCTTGTAAAACCAGGATATTATTCTGTCACTTAGTTAATATCATACATGTCTAAGTTTGTTACAATTAGTTAATGTTAAAAGAAGAATGGCTCGTGGTCTATCTTGTAAATGCCTTAAAAGAAGCATCCACTTTAATTAGGGGTTATTTCTTTGAACATGACCAGAAATTGGAATTGTTTTATTACTTGATATGTGCTGTTTTAAAATTGATCCCTCAATGTATTATGTATATACTGGGGTCCATCTTTTTTAAAAAAGTGTTCTGTTACTAATTCCTTAGTGGAATCTCATTCTCCTAATAGAGGAATGAATGTGTAGAATAAAAACTGGGTTCTAATTTTGAATAACTGGGTTCTAATGTTCCTGTTTTTATTTGAGTTTCTTATCAACATGACAGTTGGCCAAGGTTCCAATTTTGATTTTATAATAATAGAGACATAAAGGTTGAGTTAACATTCATTATTTGACCTGATTATTGGCAAGGTAATTTAAAATTGTATTAAGATCAATTTTGTAGGAGAGTGGACACAAGAAAAAGGATCTCTACAAGAAGACGGTCTGCGGGACACTGCTTAAACAACACTCAGAGCAGAAAACTTTATCAGATGATGTCCTCCTAGACAGCTGTGTGAGATGAGACTTGTGAGCCTTAATGGACTATTTATTGTTTACTTTTCCCCTTTGCTATTTACTTACTAAGGGGACTGCCCCTTTGATTTGTCAATGCATGGATCAATTTCTCTCTCCCCTTTCCCACATTGCTGTAAGTCCCCAAAATCCTTTGATTAAGTGTTGACCATATCAGTTAGTGATTCATCAAGAAGGCTATACTCCTCATTAGAATCAGACAGGGGAATGTGAAAAACAATTTATCTTAGTAATCTGTGTCTTGGAGACTCAGAGCTCCACCCCCCAACCTTCTGCTCCAAAGTTCTTCAGCAGGACATTACTGATAAGGAGATTTCACTGAATTTTCTTATTCTGGTCAAACTCCAATCCAGGCCTGAACTGATTTCATTCTACACAGGCTTGCGTGGAGACAGATTTCTTCTGCCTAGATAGCCCAAAGACTGGAGGTGGTATTTCCTCTACTTTGATGGCAGGTGATAACTAGCCCCTGTTGACCTAAGTCACATACTCAAGAGCTCATTTTAATATAGCCCACCTTCCAGTATGTCGACCAATCAAGGCTGATTGGCATCCCTTGGGAACACCTACTCTTCAAAGGGCTTATAACTCAGTACCCCAAATCCCAAATCAAGCCAAATCAACTCCCTTAGAGGAGCCCAATTTTGGACTGAACTTGACATTCATATGTCAAGCCAGGTTGAGAGAAATTAAAGTGTGGACACATGCCTTAATTTTGTTTATCTCTTTTTTAGAACAGACTCTGTAATTTATGGGGCTTAGACAAGCTAAAGAAGGAAATGACAAACCACTCGAGTATCTTTGCCAAGAAAACTCCGAGTGGGGTCACAAAGAGTCAGATGTGACATAAATGACGAAACAACAACAACCAGAGAGGTGATGAACTACTGGCACAGAATGCTACATACACTGTCAGATATGGCTGGTCTGTCCTTTCCTTTTGGCTTAACTGTTTTTCTCTAAAGAGCTGCAGGGATGATTTTGGGAAAGTGACTGAAAATAATCATTATAATATTTAACACTTTTTCAAATAGCTGGAAAAAGAAAGTAATTTAATCTTTCTGTGTCTAAGTTTACTCATCTATACGAATCTGGAGTTGGAGATGGTCTCTGGGTTTCCTCCCAGTTCTAGATGTGTGATCTTATGAAGTATAGAATGAACCACGGATTTTTGTCTATGAGACTTTTTGTAGATCCCAAACTCAATGCAATTACTAGCAAGGTCATCTGTGAATAGGCACTTTTCAATGCTAATTTGAATACCATACATAATGTATATGCTAATACATACATTAGCATATCAAAACCAAATCACTTTTCAATTACTCTAGCCCCAGGCAGATCTGTGGTTATCCTCAATCCACAAAAGATTTAGAGAGAAGGATGAGTTTGGTGTCTTTTTTTTTTTTTTGCTTGGTTGATTTTTTTGTGATAGCTATAGTCAAGGCAGATTGGATGGGGGCTGGGGGAGGGGAAGAGTACTGACAGTAATAGAAAGCAAAGAGTGGGACATTCCTATTCTCCATTATACCAGGGTTTATTTTTTCAGTGTTGGCTGGAAATGCTGATTAGGTTATGAGTTTTTTTATGAAGGGCAAAGCTCAAGTCTTGCCACATAAAGCATGCAACAAATGCTTATTAGGGTAAAATTAGAATCTGTAAAGCAATCAACAGCATAATAACGTTCTTGCTGGTGACTACTACCACAATTAAGGAAGGTACCTTATGAAAAAGAAGTCTCTATAAATTCATTAAAAGTATTTCCTTCCAAACAAAATCTCATTAAAATCCTCTAAATTTTATAAACAGGACTACTTCCTTTCTTCAGTATTCAGTGGATCTCTTCTTCTTTAGGTACCCTTAGGTAATCAAGTGAAAATTGTCATTTTTGCTATAGGCTCAGTTTACCAAGAACACCCCACCTCCAATGGGAAATTCTGTTAAGAGATTCACAAATTAAGAAATGGGACATAGGAATCATTTTATCTAGCACTTTCATTTTATAGGAATTTGAGGAAACTGAGACCCATGGAGGTTTAGTTGAGATTTATTTTATAAAAAAAAGTATCTATTTTAAGTTCCGTTTTGTATACTACTCAACAGCTACCAGCTATCAAAGAATGAATCACAATAAATTTCTATACTTTCTTAAAATCAGTAGACCAGCTGCTTGTATGTTTTAGGCCCCAAACCACTCAAAATGAAGTTTCCCTATATTTCTAGACAAAAAAAAAATTTGCTAGGTCAAGTTCTAGAAATTAGCAATGAAGAGAATTGAAAAGAGCCAAAATCCATTTTCTGAAAGCTGTCCCAAATGAGATGAAAGGAAAATGAATCCAGGATGAAAAGCTGAATGGTTTTGTTTTTTTTTTTAAAGAATCCAGAGTCTGGCTAAGGGTAGAAACAAATACCCAGAAAAGAGTGTAATGCTTGGAACTGACCCAATAAGGGAAAGAAAGGACTTTGGACCCAGAAGAGAAATGCTGACATCTCATTGTTAAGCTGCTAGGTTAGCAGAATCAAAATCTACATGTTTAGTTCAGGGTATTTAAAAATTCACAGAAATTTTTGGAAACAAATGGTAGTAAAGGGCTCCAAAGATGGCAGGCTCATTAAACAATAATTAGGTGTGATTGAAAAAAACAGTTCAGTAAATTTCTTGTGATCTCCTAAATCAAAGGTAATGAAATTGGCTTAAATGATACTAATTGGCTGCAAATTTGGAGTCTCATAGTGTTGCTGAAGCATTATATTAAAATAAATTTCTGTCTACCATTGGCCCATTAATACAAAGTTTGATTTAGTGCTAAACAACTTGAGATATTTATTTGTCCAAGATAAAAATTGATTTTTTCTCTATCCAAAACATTTTTAATTAGTGAAAACACGAACACAGAAAAGTATTAGCTCTCACCTTCAAAAATATCATGGAATTTAGAGATACAATTAGAAACAAATCCTATTTAAATCTTTATGGGCATGCCATAAACGGATGATACTCAGCAGATACATTAACATTAAACTATTTCAAGGATGAGAATCAGAACTAGTGAACAAGGAAGATGTTACTATCGACAAACTAATGATATTAGCTAGCAAATTAGCTAACAAAAACAAAGCCTAAAATTAAAACTCCTGCTACAATTAAAATTTCAATTAATGTAAAGTTATACCCCTCCAAAACGTTAAAATCTTTCAAGTCAGATGGCTATACTCAAGCTTTCTCATAATCCTTTCAGAGGAAGCCATCCCGATGCTTGGTGGCCTTCCTTGAGATCTCTTGATAGTTATTATCTGGGTATCAATGGATTGTGTAGGTCATCCATGAATTATTCTTCACTATCTTTGGCCAACCTGCCTCCTCATCTCATACACCTTTAGGACAATCCTTTACCCAACATCTGCTCAATTATCCCTGAGTAATATGATGATGTGTTGCACTCTATTCCAACAACTTCACCACACAAAGCATGAAAAACAATGTAGGTTACAATTTAGATATTTTATTTCAAACCACCATAACAAAATGTCCAGTAAAATCCTATTGATTTGTTATTGTTATGTTAGTTTCTAACAAAAACAAATATGCCACATTCCTCTTCCCCATCCCCATATCCCCATCCCCAACCACTTTGAGGCAGTGAAGCACAGTGGGTAAACAGCCAGACTCAGAGTCAGGGAGACCTGGGTTCAAGTTGCTACCTTTGACCCATAATGGGCTATGTAACCAAAGGCAAGACACTCAATGTTAACTCTTTAAGACTTTAAATTGCAGAAAAGTTGTCCAATCTTCACTGTTAGAGTTTCTTCATAAAGTTTCCCATCCCAATGAAATTATAGGTACAGGGGGAAAAAACATCTTGAGTAATACTTTTAGCAATTTATTATAGCCCTAATGATGTGTTAATGATATGAGATAGAACTCTTCTCTTTATTATAACGGTGTACAATGGATTTTTTTTTCTATTAAAAAGGATTTTTGAACAACAAGTCAAAAGAGGAGACTCCAGGCATAGAAATTCCCTCCACCAAGAGACTGGAAGGTGTCTATGCCTTACTGGTTTAGTCTTCACCCAGAGTCACTTAGAGGTAGTAACAGTCAGGGCAGGATTTGAACTAGGTCTTCCTGACACTAAGCCTGATACTCTAACTATTCTGCTTTCTGTTGCTATCACTGAAAGACATAAAAAAAATCTATTTTCCTTTCATGAAGAAAAGGTCTATTTCTCTTCCTAACTCTTGCTTACCTGAGTTGATAATGTCTCCAGTTTTCGTTTCCTTGCATGCAATGCTTTGCTTGGAAAAGCCCAGAAATAATTAGATGTCCCAATCCTCTCAGAGTCCACCATACCATCATCAACTAGGCTTTGAAGGACTTCCTTCACTGACATAGCAGCTACCAGAAAGAAAAACAATATTATAAACTTAAATTAGAATCACATAATGATAATATATGAATGAAAAACTGCATTAATGACACTTGGGGTATAAAGGGTTAAAATGCCCCTAGAAAGAGACATATGTGTCAATACTCTTTTTAATCTTCTTAAGGTCTGGACTTAACTTAGGGCCTCCAAAAAATCAGACTAAGGCCTAAGTCAGTTTGCATGTGCCTGTATTTTACATGGGGAATAAAATTATTACCTTTGATGTTATTGTCTTTGATTTTCATGAGAGACAGCATGGTGCAGTGAATAGAGAGGGTCAGGAGGAAATGGATTCAAGTCCAGCCCCTGACAGCTGTGTGATATTGGGCAAGTCATTTAACCCCTAAGCAACTCTCTAAGATAAATTACAGAAGCACTGTCCAGGGAGTCTCTACCATGGGAGTTTGCCACATCAATGAAATCCCTGGTCTGGATTAAAAAAAAAAAGCAGTTATATCAAGAAGACCAGGAAAGATTTAGAAGACACACAAGGAATACTCTTGTGAAATTATCCAGATCCTTTAAGGGATCACGGGCCAAGGCAGCACGCTGCTCAGCATGCCAATTCTGACATGTTGTCGATGTCGGCCACCTCTTCTCAAAGCAGGCCTTTGCCCCAGTGTCATCCCATGCTCACATTTATTTTCTCTAACTGGATTCTTATTTTTGATATATTCTTTAAAATCTCCTTTGATTCATTTTGGAGTTTCTTCCTAGAAATTTCTCAAAACTTTCACTGGCTGGCCTCATTGCCAGTTTACACCAGGCTGGCTAGTTACACAAAGTCACACAGCCCATTTATGGGTCGAAGGTGGCAACCTGAACCCAGGTCTCCCTGGCTCTGAGTCTGGCTCTTTACCAACTGTGCCTCACTGCTTCAAAATGGCTGGAGATGAGGATGGGGGAGAGATGGTGAAGACTCCCTGGACTAATACTTCTGTAATGCGCCTTAGAGAGTTGCCTGGGGGTTAAATAATTTGACCAGGATCACATAGCTAGCATGTGTCAGGGGCTTGACTTGAACCCAGTTTCTCTTGACTTCCTTTATCTATTGTACCATGTTGTCTCTCATGAAAATCAAAGACATTTGTAATAATATCATTCCCCATGTTAAATACAGGCACGTGCAAACTGACTTGGACCTTTGAAATAAATAGAAAGAAAAACCAACACACAACAGAATAACCTAAATATCTTAATAGTAAAGAGGTTGCATAGTCAAATATGCTTATAGGACTTTCATCCATTTTTATAAATGACTGCATGCTTATGCAAACAAAATGTTCAAATTAAATACAAATAAATACTGATATTTAAGTTTGTAAAACATAAAGTTAGCACACTCCAAGGGACCAGCAATCTCATCCATGAGGCAACTCTCTCCATCTCTGAAGACTGTAACCAATCTATACTCACTCATTTCATGATATCTTTTGTCCATGTTCCCCCATAAGCTTTACCTATGGAGGGTCCCCAGTAAGTTGAGACTTCCCTTATTTTCTCTTGACACCATGAAGTTACTATACCAGTGCAGCATTCAGGCTGCTCATTATGTGTTATCAGTGATAAATGTATCACTGTGCAATAGACTTAAATTTTTCTAACTTTGAAAAGAAATTAGAGTCACTGAACCATGTTATTTACTTAATTGACCAGGGAAGTAAGAATTCACTTGTGTTTAATGATTTATTGAAAGTATATAATTAGGAAAATATTACGAAGCAGCTAATTGGTACAATCAAAAGAACGCTAGGCCTGGAGTCAAAAAAGACCTGAGTTCACATCCTGCCTCAGATACTCACTGACTGTGTCACCCTGAGTAAGTCACTTAATCTCTATTTGTCTCAGTTTCCTCAATTATGAAACAGGGGATAATAATAGCCCCTAGCTCATGGGACTGCTGTGAGAATCAAATGGGATGTTTATAAAGTACTAAGCAGAGTCCCTGGCACACAGTAGGTGCTATATAAATACTTGCTATTATTGTTGCTGTTGTTGTAAGGATCAAATGAGTTAAACTTTGCAAAGTGCTTTGCAAACCTTAAATGCTAGCTATTATTAATCAGCATATAATTAAGAAGTAAGTCTTACTCTATAAATTTTCAGGACTAAAATCAATTTGTAACAATGATTTCGGTCATCAAGGTCTCTGTATCTTCAGTTAAATTCTGTTTAATTAGGAGAGACTATTGTATAATAGCACACAGGACTTGTAGGCCTGTTCATATTGATGTCTTGTCGTGGGTTCATATCAACACTTCCTGGTTCCACGACCATGGGTAAGTCACTTAATATCCCATAGCCTCTGCTTCCTTAAAATTGGGACAATAATAGCTGGAGAACTACTGGGAGGTTCATAGGAGATAAAGGAGATTTAAAAAGCACTCAAAATATCTGGCTAAGAGCATTGCCTAAACAAAACACAACACTACCTAGCTTCTACAAACCAATTTCAGCAAACTCCTGAAGTCCACACTAAGCTGAAAATGGATGAAGAAATTGAAAGCAAAACTGTAACGAGTGACTTTTCCCATTCCGAAACAGAACAAAAAGTCAGCCAGTAGCCCATGAGCAATAGGAAATGGGGCCTTAAGCCAGCAAAGCTCATGCCAGCACAACCAGCTGCTGTGGCTCTGTGTTCAGATGGAGCAATGGGGCCTTAAGCCAGCAAAGCTCATGCCAGCACAACCAGCTGCTGTGGCTCTGTGTTCAGATGGAGCAAGGGTGGAAGGCTCCCCCAAGAAAGCCCCAGGGTGGGGACCTTAGAAGCCCAGGGGAGCTGCCAGCAGCAGGCAGCAGCCAGTACCTGACTACAGCACTCAGACCAAGACATCCCAGGCCAGGATCTCTCAGGCCTCTAACACTCTGTCCCAAGACCCTGGAGTGAGCCCTGACAATAGAGTGCTCCAAACCTCAAAGATACAAGGAGGATGAACCCCAAGAGGTGGAAGTTAGCTCAGCAACTAGCTCTCTCAGGGAGAGAGTAAGCAGGGCTGAAAACCTCACCCAAAGTACAAAAAGGAGCAAAGCCTGGCCTTGGCTTGGCATATAGCCTCAATTCAGGAAGCAAAGATGGAAAGGAGTAAATCAAAGAAAACATTCACTAGCATCAACAATTATTTCAAATCTAGACACTGTACTCCCCCAAAGGAGTTAAGTCTATAACAACTTTAAGCTTAGACTCAAAGAAAAAAAGGGATTCTCTACAGGAATTATATGAATACTTAGAACAAATGAAGCAAGAGATAAAAAATGAAATAAAATCTCTGGGAGAAAGAATCAGAAGAATAATAAGTAACTTAGAAAAGAAAGTGGTAAATCAACAACAAAATCAAACAGATTCCCTGAAAACTTGAAAACAACAAAAATATCAATGATTCCATGAGACCACAAGAAATACTGATCAAAATCTGTAGACTGAAAAAAATAGAATTAAGATATTTTATATAAAAAAAAAAGTGAACTGGAAAAGATGTCAAAGAAAGATCACTTATGAATCAATTAACTCTCTGGTTTTAAAAAAAAAAAAGCCTGGACACTATACTGCAAAAAATCGCAAACGAAAAATGTCCAGATCTATTAGGGCAAAGTAAAGACAGAAAACAAAATCTACTGATCATCTCCTGGAATGAATCCTCAAAGGAAAATTCCCAAGAATGGCATAGCCAAAATCCAGACTCCCTACGTAAAAGAAATAATACTATAAACAACCAGAAAGAAGCAATTCAAAGATCAAGGAAATACAGCTAGGAATACATAAAACCTGGCAGCTTCAAATAAAAATCAGAGATCTTAAAAAACAGCATTGTAAAAAGCAAAAGATATAGGGTTACAAATAAGAATAATAACCAGCAAAACTGAGTATAATCCAACAAGAGGAAAAAAGAGATTTTTCAAGCACTTCTAGTAAGAGAAGAACTATGAAATACAAATATAAAAGTACAGAGAAACCTAGAAAGGTAAATTTACTTGAACAATTGAAAAGAGCTATATCATGATATAGTGCTGACATTCTATTAAGGGGCAAAGAAATAACTGTCCTTCAGAACCTTAAATGTGTTCAAAGGATATTGAGAGAGAGAAACAAGAGAAAAGAATGGTTTGGGAAACAGATTAAGATTTTGGTCTGAGGGTTTTAAGAGGGGAAAGAGAAGGATATGTAAAAGGAATACTTTAATGTGTAAAAAAAGGAGAAATGGTTGGAACTTGCTTTTTTCTTGTAATTGGGGTGTTTAAGAAAAGCATACAAGGGCAGCTAGGTGGCACAGTGGATAAAGCACCGGCCCTGAAGTCAGGAGGACCTGAGTTCAAATCTGGCCTCAGACCAAACACTTGACACTTACTAGCTGTGTGACCCTGGGCAAGCCACTTAACCCCAATTGCCTAAAAAAAAAATAGCATACAAACACGGAACAAAGGGAGGGAGTGAGCATCAGACTGTTGCATGAATTTTCTTATCGATTTGACTAGGTAATGCCAATAAGCCAACATGAACCAGAGGAACAGGTTTTATTACACCCAGTGTGTGAAACACCTCACTAGTAGTTGATGGAGAATGTGTCTCATTCACTACTAGTAGTACTTCTATATTACATAAAACAAACAAACAAAAGATGATTGCTTATTATAGTACAGCTGTTGGGTTGGTTTTTTTTTCAAGGTATGCTTGTTAAAGAGAATATTTATTATTAGCTAAAGGAGAGAGAAAGAGGATGTGTCCTTTATGTTATAGCTAGTTTCACTAAATCAAAAAGAACCATCTGTCAGGTTAAAGGAAAGGGACATTCCAGATTATATCATCTCCTTTTTATTTATTTATTTATTTTTGCAATTAAGTCTTTTTGTACAAATTGGAGGAGGAAAGAATGCAGTGAAGGACACTAGCTATTCTAAAAGGTCCTGAAGTTCACAGAAGGGTTAAACACAGCAAAATGGTGAAAAAAGAACAAAATGGAGTTACATTCTCCAAAAAATTCACATTCAACAAGATGAATCTCACTCTTACCTGAGATGACAAAGGAGGGTTGAAGAAACACATATAAATGCACAAACACTCACAGAGTCTTATGCAGAAATATAGACAGCTCAATAGGGAAATAAGTAGGGATTTAAAGGGAGGATAATACTGTGGAGAAAAGGGTCACAAGTGAAACAGGCATCCTGATGCTGAGGGGAAGGGGAATATACATATATATATAGAGAGAGAGAGTTTCCTGTAAAAATCCTCTTTTTGTGTTCTATATCATGGAAATGTTCTTCTTTGGTGTAAGACAACTAAAACAACTCAAAATAACAGCACTGGATTTAAACAAGATATTTTAAAACATATATTTGGTTGAATTATAAAAGCCATATCCTTCTGTAAATCAAACAGAAAGGACAGCACCAAAAAAGTACTCACAGACAAATGCTGAGACACAAAGAAGCTAAACATATCTGTCACTGAGAGGCCTAAAGCTGAGATGTCAACTCTGAAATGGAGTTTGGAAGATATAATGCAAATGCAAAACTGGCATTTTCAAATGTTTCATCAAAATTATAACTAATTTTACTTTGCATTTTCATAACCATCCTTAGCTCCTTTTCCCTTTGGATTTATTTTATCTTCTCTATAACAACCGTCAAACGAACCAGTGCTGCTGTAATGGACAGAGGCCAGCCATGGCTTCCTGAAGACCAGGGTTTAATCCTGTCTCTGATACACACTACACGTGCATAGTCCTAACACATGTCTTTGTCTCTGTGTTACAGAGGAGCTTCAGACCTCTATCAGTGAAGGGTACTCTCCACTAGGGAGATCTCCACATGAATAGAATCACAGAAATGACAATAACAGTCATTTCTAGCATTTGTTAATTGCTTTGAGATTAGTAAAATGCTTTATGTACACTATCTAAGCCTATTCTCACAACCTTATGAGGTAAATATTATTATTATGCACATTTTGGATGAGTAAACTGAGTCTCAGAGAGGTCAAAAGACTTGCCCAAGTAAGTATCAAGAGAAAGTGGATTTAAATATAGGTCTTCTTGACTCCTACTTAAATGCCCTTCTTACTCAAAATAAAAGGAAACAAATACAATAACAGTTGCAGAAAAGAAAAAGTCCAGTGTACTAAAAAACCCAAAACAAAACAAACAAACAAACAAAATCCAACAGCAACCTCCTTGAATCTTTAAAGCTACAAAAAATAAAAGTAACGCAGATACTTACTAATTCCTTTCTCTCTGGGAGCAATCTTCTCCATATCTTTCAACTGAAATACATCTTTCTGTTTAAAAGGTGTAAGTCAAAAGCACATATTTATTCTCCACTTGATTTTTACATGTATGAATCAATCAACATGTATTTATTAAAGACCTAATACTACAAGGCAGGCACTGAAGCTACAAGTAGAATGAAAGAAATAATCTCTATTTATCTAGCACTAAATTCATTCTGTAATTAATTCACATGGCTACCTTCAGGGATCATAGAGTTAGAGCTGGGAGGGACCTCAAAGGCCATGTAGTCCATGCCCCTCATTTTTTTTTGGTTTGTTTTTTTGGTGAGGATTGGGGTTAAGTGACTTGCCCAGGGTCACACAGCTAATAAGTGTCACGCGTCTAAGGCCGTATTTGAACTCACGTCCTCCTGACTCCAAGGCCAGAGCTCTATCCACTGTGCCATTCCCCTCATTTTAAAGATGCAGAAATAGGCCAACAGAAGATTTGGCCAAAGTTACAGGGCAATAAATAGCAAAACAAGAAGTTGAATCCAAGTTAAATCAGTAAGCATTAATTAGGTGCTTACTATGTGTTAGGTACTGTGCATGGGATGCAAAAAAGGGCAAAGACAGTGCCCTGTCCTCAAGGAGCTCACATTCTAATGGAGGAAACAACAAATGACTATGTACAAACAAGACATATACAGAGTAAACTGGAAATACTCTGGAGAGAAGAGAATAGCATTATGGGGAGATCAAGGAAGGCTCCAGCTTCTTTCTAAAGCATCACGTTGCTTCACTGGGGCTAGAGACGAATACCTAGGTTGAGCAAATTTCTGAGAGGTCAAAAGATTTTTAAGAATATCTATATATTGGGGCAGCTAGGTGGCGCAGTAGATAGAGCTCCAGCTTTGGAGTCAAGAGGACTTGAGTTCAAATCCAACCTCAGACGCATGGCACTTACTAGCTGTGTGACCCTGGGCAATTCACTTAACCCCAATTGCTTCACTAAAAGGCAAAAAAAAAAAATCTATATACTTCATACAGATGGATGATATAATCTGGATTTTTCTTTCCCTTTTGCCCTTTCAAAGATGGTCAAGGACCATCACCATTTTATTTGGTCCAAGACCATATAGGAGGATCATTACACATATGAAGTGAGAGAATAAGTAATGGTTACTTAAGGAAATTAGCATAATCTCTCTCTAATCACCAAGAACTTTTAGGAATACTGAGCTATACTTAAAGAATGCTGGTCAAGTTAAAAATGTCAAATAAGTATATATTGTCTAATCACAAAACTTCAAATAAATAAAAACAAAAAAGGTTTTTCAATTGTACTAAATTATTTGTCATTTTTCCCCCCAAATATTACCAGACATTTGAAAACAGAAGCTTCATAGTGTTCTCTGATTTGCACAGACGGTATAATTTTTTGATGGACTGAGATTTCATTTTCTACTAACGAGAAGACATAATTTGAATGGATCACATCAAGAAGAAAACAAGGCTCAGAGAAAGCACAAAAATTTGCCAAATGGCACCTGCTACTCAGGAAGCTGGCCAGTTTAGTCTGAAAGACTTGGCTCCTTCCTTACCTATATGACCTTGGGAAGTCATTTAACCTCTCTGGGCCTAAGCACACTCACCTGTAAACTTAAAACCTTTGAAGTCCCTTCTAGCTCTAAATCTTTGATGACCCTATATAAAAATCTATTCTTAACATTATCAATAATTGCCTGAATTATTGCTAATAATTCATCTCCTTTTGGGAGAGGAGCCCTTGACAGAGAGTCCAGACCTATGATTGTCTAAAGAACTCCCAGTGTGGGAGAACAGCCTGGAGCCCTGGGAGGCCAGGCAGCTTGTACCTGGTCATAGCGAGAATGTGTAAGAAGACATGATAGGGACTCATGTGTTCCTGACTACAAAGTCAGCCCTCTCATGGACTATGCCACTCCCCCTCTCTCTACCTCACCTCATATCTTGCCAACAGAAAATCTATTGAAAATGTGAAGAAAATATACTTACCGTCTCAAAAAAGATCTCCATCATACGAGTTCTCTTCTCTTCTGCACTCAATCCTTTTTTCTTCGACTAAAGAAAGAACACACATTTCATTTTAAAACAACCTGGCAAGTAGCCTATTCTGAAATTTTACACATTCTCATATGTATATATACTAATACGTATATAGAACATCCCTCTCCTTGTCAGTTATGGTCAAGATTGGTGACCTTCAGAATCAGTTAGTCAAGGAACATTTAATTGATAAATGCCTGTATGTGCCAGGCGCTGAGCTAAACACAGAGGGATAGATACAGAGAAAGGCAAAAGACAGTCCCTGCTCTCAAGGATCTCACAGTCTACTAGCGGAGAGGACATGCAAACAACGATGCACAAACATGATGTATACACGATAAATAGGAAATAATCAATAGAGAGAAGGCACCAGAATTAAGAGGGATTAGAAAAGGCTTCCTGTGGAAAGTGGGACTTTATCTACAATCCAGGGAAGTCAGGAACGAGAGAATTCAATTTCGGCATGGAGGACGGCCAGTGAAAATGCCGAGAGTCAGGAGCAGCAAAGACACCAGAGCAGGAGTGAGGAACCTATGGCCTAGAGGCTACATATGGCCTTTTAGGTCTTGAAGTACAGCCCTCTAAATGAATCCAAATAAATCCCTAGAGGGCCACATGTGGTTATGAAGGGTTTTGAATACCAAACAGAGGATTTTATATTTGACCCTGGAGGAGGGAGCCATTGGACTTCATTCAGTAGGGAGACGATATGGTCAGGTCCTGTACTTTAGGAAGATCACTTTGGTAGCTTAAAGGAAGATGGACTAGAATGAGGAGAGGCTTGGGGAAGGTAGAGCAGGTTGCTGCCATAATCTAGTCATGAAGGCCTGTATCAGGGTGGTGGCAGTGTCAGAAGAGAAAAGCTGATGTGTTCTAGAGACGGTGCAAAGGTAAAATCAACAGGACTTGGTAACAGATTGGATACAGGGAGTGAGAAGAGTGGAAGGTGGCATTTAGGTTTCAGGCCTGGATAACTAGGAGGATGGGTATTCTCAAAAATAACAGGAAAATTAAGAAATGGGGGAACTGGTGGGCAAAGATAATGAGTTCAGTTCTGGACGTTGAGCTTAAGATGTGTACAGGACATCCAGTTCCAGATGTCCAAAAGACAGAGCTAGTCTGCTATGGACTCATCTTTTTAAGACCAATATTTGCAGCAGATACACAAAAAATACTAACATGCCAATTGATTGGATTCAATATAAGTATTTATTCAGTGAACCTAATATTTAAGCCTTTATATAACAAATTTCAAATATGTGATGTATAATGCTCTGCTATGTCTATTAACATAAGTATGTCCATAGCATGGTTTGTATTGTTTTAAAAAAGGAAATAGGCATATTCCTCAGAGGAGAAAAAAGTTAAGGAAAAAAAATCACCCCTATGATGTTTTACTTCAAATATCTCATGGCCAGGTTTTTAATTTCCCTGGCACAGACCTTCATTCTTTCTCTATTGTAACAGATGGAAAGCCCTATACTGAGTTGCTTTGACATACCCAAATTTCAGCCAATTGGTTGCTATCCTAATAACTTCCTATTTGGTCTATCTCAAACCTCTCTTCATACCAAATCCATTCTTCACAATCCAGCCAAGTAATTTTCTGTAGTACAGGTCTGACCATGTCACTATCCTCCTCCCATTCAAATTTCAGGGGCTCACTACTGTTACATTAAAAAATAGTATTAATGACTCCATTTTGCCATTATCCATCATTCTGTGATTCGAAGTTTCAGCGGTTTATAAGTGGCCTGATTCTGGAGAAGTCACAGTTACACCCCCTTCAGGGCATAAGGTCACCTGACTTAAGGAACATCATAAAACATCCCTCTTCCTTTCACCTTAGTGAAACCAGTCCCCTTCACCAACCAGAAGCCAGATGTCTCAATCCTTATAATCCCATTTTTCCTGTTTCCTACTACCTCCCAATTGTATATTAGCTGTGTAGAAACCAATGGTCAAGGTCCTTGGCTACCCAGACACCTGGTCCTAATTTGTTTCTCTCCATTTTTGGAAGACAGACAAGAGACACAAATAAGAAGGAAGGGAATCTTTGTTCCTAGTCTGCAAGAGTTTATGACGTTGTAAACTAATTAGAGACTAAATTTGTGACTAAAATTTCTCTACTGTGAATTTCCAAAATATGGTTTAAATGTTTCTATAAATGTTTTGAGGCACATTCTATAGAATCTGTTTTATAAGAATAAAACTCTGTGAAAGTTACATGGAAACAGTCCTTAGATCTTTTATCACTCTTTCCCTGAAGAATGAGAGCTTTATTGTTTTAGTGCAAGGAAGAAAGGTGATTTCACTAGAGAAAAAAATGTGGTTTACAGTTTAAATTTAAGAACTACCTATTCTAAGGTTTCTCTTGACTCTGAAAAGGAAGAAGCTTATTTAAATCACAGAACAGCTTAAAAGTAAATAAAATTTAATCAGAAAGAATGTTTATAGTGTTACCACTATATTTGTTCTATGAATGATATAATAGAACTTAATTGTTTAGGAAAGTAGAATCAAAATCACCAAAAAGTATTGGAATAGACCATGTATTTATAAGCTTTTAAGAACCCCTATGGCAACAGTCATGCAATTAATTGGTTTTGTATAATAAAAACTTATGCTAAATTTTAAAGGAAAAAATCAGTGAAGATTAGAGATAGTCTGGATACGATTGGGAAATAAAGACTTAGAGGAATTAAGTTGGGTAGGGTTAGGTTAACCCCAAAAGGAACTGATTTGATTCACTGCATGATTTTAAAGTAAAAGAAAGAAAAGTTATGGGAAGCTGGAAATGTCACCACCAAAAAAAAAATTTTTTTTCTCTCTCTCTGAACATTAGCTAATTGAAAACAGTGAGCCCTGAAATTTGAAATGCTGGCAGCTGATGGCCCTTGAGAAAACTAAGATTTAAATGTTACCATTAGTGATTATAAATCCAAATTTGATTTTGTTGAAATTTTGTTCTGAAACTAAATCATAATGTGGTCCCATTTACAGTGAGATACCTACTCCTATTAGGATAATTGTGGTAAATTAGAGCCCAATGCAAAAACCTGTGTGACATTAAACAAGTTACTGCACCTCTGTTTACTTCAGTTTCCTAACTGGTAAAAGGGATGATAATAATAATAGCACCCAACTCTCAGTATTGTTGTGAGGATCACATGGTTATAAAGTGCTTAGCATAGGGCCTGGCCTTTAGTAAGCACTATACAAACGTTAACTATTATTATTTTATTAAATGTAATTACTCCACACTGGATTACTCTATACTGGGTTTAGATGTGATTGGCATAAAATAGCAAAAATGATAAGATGAATGATTTTCTATATAAGATTATCTGAAAAAGCATTCAACTGAAATGATGTCACTATACTCCTGTTTTTCCCTTCCTCTAAATTGTATATTCACTGTGTAGAAATCAATGGTCAAGATCTTTGGCTACCCTGAGCCTTAGTCCCAATTTACTTCTGCAATCGCATGCATTGCTAAAGAAATCCTTGTCTGGATGTTAACTACTCCTTTCTTTATTCCTCCTTAACATCATTACCTCCATGACTAAACATAAACTCCTTTGCTTGGCACTTAAAGCCCATCACAACCTGGCCCCTTCTTACCTTTCCAATCTTTTTCCCACACATTACTCTTCTTCCTATACTGCCAAGGATGGCCTCATCATATTGGCCTACTCCCTATTCCACCCTCAGAATGCTCTCTCTTCTTTGTGCCTTTGCAAGGGCAAGGTCTAGAATGTATTCCTCCCTCACCTCTCCCTCTCGGAATCTCTACATTCATGCAAGACTCACCTCAATGGCAAAGAACTGGCAATTGAAGAGATGCCCATTAATTGGGGAATGGCTGAACAAACTGTGGTACATAAATGTAACAGAATACTATCGTGCTATAAAAAACTGATGTGCGGACAGATTTCAGAAAAACCTAGAAAGACTTGAATGAACTGATGCTGTGCGAAGTGAGCAGAACCAGGAGAACGTACACAGTAACAGCAACACTGTGTGATAATCAGCTTTGATAGACTTAGCTCCTCTCAGCAATGCAATATGATCTAAGACAATTGCAAAAGACTCATGATGGAAAATGCTATGCACATCCAAAGAAAGAACTAAGGAGTCTGGATGCATATCAAAGCACACTATTTTCTCTTTTTTTTTCTTTCTTGTGGTTTTTCCCTTTAGTTCTGATTCTTCTTTACAATTAGTCCACATGACTAATGTGGAAATATGATTGTACATGTATAGCCTATAACAGATTACATGCTGTCTTGGGGAGAGGGGAGAGGAGGGAGGGGGAAATTTTAGAACTGAGAATCTTGTAAAAGCAAATGTTGAAAACTAAAAATAAATAAATTTTTAAAAAAGAAAGAAAAAAAGACTCACCTCAAGTACCACTTCTGCATCAAAGTCTTTTCCAAAAACCCTTATATTCATCTTGTATATAATATATATGTACATATCTTGCCTCCCACATTTAAGAATAAGCTCCTTCAGAACATTATCTTGTCTTTGTATCACCAGTGCTTAACATGGGATCTGGCATACAGTGGGCAGGTAATAAATGCCTGTTGACTGATTATAGGGATCAGAAAAATTAACTTCAAGGCCAATCATCTACATTTTTTTGGTTTGGTATTATTAATAAATATCATTTATTGTTAGAAAACATTAGTAGGCAACAGATCTGTCATACAGGGGCCATCAGTTTTAAGAAAGAGTCATAAACAAGATGATAAAATGTTTACAATTGCCAGGTATGATGGTATATACCTGTAATCAGGAGGACGAGAAGGAGGGAGGGAGGGAAGAAGAAAGGAAGGAAGGAAATAAATAAATAAGTTTTATGCTTTTTAGGGGCAGGCCTGACTCAGGCTAGTTGATTTAGGTTTGAGGCTGGAATTAACTGAGACACCGAAAGGTCATTCAACAGTTAATAAAAGCAGATTAGGCAGAGCCTAGAATGGATATTCAAAAAGGATACTGCAATACCTGCC